GCCGACGATGACTAGCAGATACAAAGTGGCACAGGTCAAGGCTTACATGAGGGTATCGGCAGACGTTAACCATCCATTGCACACAGCTATACACGACACAAAAGGAACGCGTCTCAAAATAGGCCGCTCTTGGATGGCAAAGGCTTTAATCCAGCAGGTATGTGACCTAGACGTGATCAGTCATGGAAAAGAATGGACGAATGCACCAGTAGACATGCATGGCATCTCTAAGGTTGTCATCACACTCGAAAGGTACTGCAGGGATCAAATTCTTTGACGCCGTAGACACAGAAGTAAGGGAACTGATAGATCAGCATTCAGACCAAGAAGATATCATCATCTACACAGATGAATCCGTGAAGCGCGGATCAAGGAAGGGGCGCTTACCAGACAACCACGTCAAGCATGACAATGGAAATAGCCGCTGCTTCTAGAGCTTTAGCATGGGTATCCGAGCAAACCACCACACAGGCAGTAATTGTATCAGACTCATTGAATATGCTTGAGAGGATAGCAACAGGCAGTATGCGCTCTGAATGGATAGAAAGCATTCGAAAATCGCACACCAACCTGGATCTATACTGGGTCATGCGGGCGTGAAGGGAAATGAGCGAGCGGACCAACTGGCAAACATTGCACTAATGATTGCGGGAAAAAGTAGGGACAGAGCAGATATCGTCAACGCTGTACCAACTGGGCTAGTGGAGAATGATGAATCCCTGACACTAACACAATTGCGTGACATAGGAGTTAAGCATGGTGATGCACGTCTTTGCCGTCTTCGAGGCCGAAAAAGGAGACAATATAACCAGCTTCTCATGTGGACAATTAGTAGAAGTACTTTAAAGTGGCTGCTGCTTCGGAGAATTGAGCGCGCATGGGTATGCCCAATGTGCAGTGACATCAATTGTGATAACAAAACATTAAAAAAAAACATCTTGTAGGGAGTCGGCAGTCCGAAACCCAAGTTCAAGATGTCTCCTTCGTGCCAAAGAACTGCATGGCTGTTGGGTAACAGTCGTTAACGAAGGCAGGCAGGTCGTTGTAGGGGCGACGCCTACTGGTGGATGTAATGTCCTAAGTTCCTTCCCCAGCTATTAATGAGGGTACTGCTGGGGACCGTTTATTAACCCTCATATAATGCTTCAGCTCAAAATGGACGCTAGGCACGGCCAACTTTTTTTTAAAAGCCGTGGCAAATGTTTTTTTTTTCTGCTTGACGGTGGCCGCTGTATTTTTGCTCCATTTGTAGACTGGAAGTATATAGTTTCGTCGCCCAGCTTCTGAGTTAAGTGCATGGCGTGACACTGTGAGCAAGTGTGTTTTTCGTTGGCACAGGAGCGGAGCAACTATGGGGTGACCCGTTTGCTATGAAGCTGAAACTAGGATTACCAGAAAGGCAGAAGACAGGAACAGTTCGCATCTACACCTTACGTCATTTGCTGCAGGAGACGGAGCAACTATGGGTATGCACGGTGTGCTTTGATGTCAATTCTTAAATCAGTAATCAGCGAAGGATAGCGGTGGCTTAGGCGTTGCGAGTCCGACTTGTAATCCAACGTACCGCGATCAAAACCCACTGCGGGCTGCGTGGATTTTTATCGTGGTATGGGACGTCGTAGGTCGACCCAGCCTCAAATGGGTACCAGGATGGCTGTCCTGGGAAGTAAAGATGGCTGGCGTAATGCTGACCACATTACCCACCAAGTACAGATTGGTCTGTAAAAAATATGGGTGCTCTTTCCATATGCCCGATACGCCTATAGGCGTGTAAAAGGATCTTTACTTTAGGAGTCCCTGTGGCCGAGCGACTAGACGCTCGCCGCGGATCGGAAGGTCGTGGGTTTGCTCACTGGCGGAGCCGAATTATTTTCAAAAATGACCTTGGCTTCCAGGTCGACCCAGCCTTGAGTGGGTACCGGGTGCAGTCCCGGGAAGTAAAGGTGACCGGTGTGAAGCTGACCACATCACACATCGTGTTCCGATTGGTCTATAAAATATAGGTCTAGCCCTGTATGCCCTATACGCCTAAAGGCGTGGAAAAGGGTCCTTTACTTTTTACTTTTTACAGCGAAGAATAGAACGACTTGGCAAGGGTGCCTGGCAGGCACTCTTCCGAATACCGGTCCCAAATTATTCAAAGACAAAAACCGGTATTTGGAAGAGTACGACTTGACTATGCTCCATTCGGTTCGGGGCTAGAAAGGCGGAGAAAGAAATAGATTTACTGCAATCAATATCGACGGCAGGTAAATGATGACAATGAAAATTTTGTTAAAATATTATTTAAATTAGTTTAGCTTACTTTACTTTTTCCTTCCACGTATGCCGCTAAGCGTTGTGGGGAGATGCAAGTTCCTGTCGTAAGCAAGGCGGGCAGCATCTGATGTTCTGAGGCCATGCTTTTGGCAGGTTTCGGAGACCCCGTCAATCCACTGTTTCCTTGGTCTTCCTCTTGCCTTATATCCTGAGCTTCTTTGGTTGAAAATTTGTGATGTTATTTGATCATTTTTCATCCTGGTTAGATGTCCAAACCATTTCATTCTTTGATGTTCTATGTAGTCTAAACATGGTGTAGTTTTGACAGTGTTTCTAATGTCTATATTCTTTATCCTGTCTAGTCTGGTCTTATTCGCTGCTTTTCTTAGACATTTCATTTCACAGGCTTCTATTTTTCTTTCGTGGGTCTTGTTGATTGTCCATGTCTGGCACTGGTAGCAGAGTGTTGGAATGAAGATGGTGTTTATCAATTGTCTTTTGGTCTTCATGGTTATATCTGGATGTTTAAGCAGAGGTGATAGTTGGTATGTGACAGCATTTGCTTTCTGTATTCTTGTTTCTATCTCTCTGTCCATTCTTCCATCCTCTGTAAATATACTGCCCAAGTATTTGAACTCTTTGGTTTGCTTGATTTTGGCACTTCCAACATTTATATTCAATGGCCTGTGTGTTCTGCTGATCTTCATAACTTCTGTTTTTTCTGTACTGATTCTCATATTATGTTGTAAACAGCTATTGTTGAGAGTAGTCAGATGTTTAGCAAATTTGAAAATTTAAAGTGTAAACAAAATATGGTGTTATTTTAGGACAAGTACATAAATTTAAGTATCTGGGCACATGGATAACATCAGATCGAAGATGCATAATTGAAATAAGAAACAGAATGAAACAACAGTTCTCGTCTACACTGTCTTTATTGTGATACTTCAACGATGTCACAAATACATCAATGATATTCTGAATAGCGCTGTGTTCCCTCAATGGCTTAATACACGTGGGTTCGCGCTGTGTTCTTCATCTCTAATTACTTTGTTAACTGATTCTAGTGTCTCTAACTGCCACCGGGCTTCTAGTGCTGTTTGGTACTAACGTCTTGATCGTTGACTCTAACATCTCTATAGTGTTCCTAATATGTCTCTGTTCTCCATGGGTCCATGTATCTTGTGTGTCGTCTCTGTAGCTCGATGTCTCGTTTCATGTCTAGTGACTGTCTTCTAGGTTAAATATGAACGGCTACTCTCCTTCCAGTGTTGAGATGGCATCGAGGATCATTGAGACTAGTCGCTCGTCCTCTGAGTCTCAACGACTGAAGGCTTCTAGTGTTGGGCTAACATCTCTACCACTGAAGGCTGTCTTGAGAGTCCATGTGACTGACCTCTTCTCTCTTGAGTCTTGTGGACTGAAGAATTGCCCTGAGGGCAGGAACGGAACGGACTTTAAACCCCACCAGGACATCACACAAGCGATAAACACCCAATGACACAAAGTGCCACCATGCGGATGAGGATCGCCGTGGAGAGGTCCCAGAAACCGCGTTCAGACATTTGGCCATATGTATGGCCTGCCTATATTGCGGCCCCTGGCAAAAGCCAGAGTAGGGCTTCAAATGACAAAAAATTTCGTCCTAAAAAGGACGAATTTGGATGCTTATAACTCTGAGGGCTTTGTTACTCATTATTTATACTTGGATGCTGGAATGCTAGGTATTTGTTTTCTTCCCGCTTTGTCTGCTTCCAGAATATTCTAGTACGCCTCAACTTGTTTACTAGGTAGGTTCTCACGTGAGACTTTCTAAAAATATCTCGATTGCATCAGATTTCATCATCCTATTCTACACAGATATAGTAGTTTAACTGACCATTGAGGTCATAGAAGTTTCTAAAAAAAAAAAAAACAAGTAGAATAAGGTATTTACTAGTACGACAAGGTTGGGTCACATGATGAAAAAATATGCATTTCAAAACTTCTAGAAAGAAGGTCAAGGCCAGACAACCTCAGTTTGATGTCAATAGCTTGTTTTGGCAAGAAAAGAAGACTCTGGAAAAGGGAATGTCAAGGCTGTCAAAACTTGTTGATTTTCAGTACATCATAACTCTGTGCCTTCTAACAAATAAGCTATGACTTAATAACTCTGTTACAAGAATTGGACAGGCAAAAACTGCATTTTATAAAATTAAAAACATCTTATGCTATATATCCTTGCCATTGGGAGTTAGAAAAAGAATTCTTGCTTGCTACATACTTAACATATGGCTGTGAATTCTGGACAATCGGTAGGCAGGCCAAACAATTTCTGGAGGCCGCGGAGATGTGGTTTTACAGAAGAATGCTTAGAATATCTCGGACAGCCAAAAAGAGCAACCAAGAGGTTTTGAAAGAGTCGGGAGTCCGAAGACAACTTATCACAGACATCAGAAGGAGATAGTCATCATTTTTCGGCCATGTTATGAGAAGAGGGAAAATAGAACATGTTGTGACCACTGGAGAGATCTGTGGGAGGAGGGATAGAGGAAGACAACGAGAGAAGATGCTTGACAGTCTTGTTGCATGGCATGGAGGTGTGTCGGCACACGAACTGATACATGCTGCAGGAGATCGCAGATTATGGAGAGGCATGATCGCCCACGCCAGTCGGCAAGGCACCTGATGATGATGATGAAACTTGTTTGAGTATATCAAGTATTTATACGAAACTAAACCAGTCACCAACAACAACAAACATGGCGTCTAGCGGGGAGTGGAAGCCAAACATCTTAGTGCAAATTAAACGTCGCAACCATGTTCAGGTTCAGCCTTTCCTTCGGTTGATTCAAACAAGTAAGACTATGTTTTATACTGGACCATTTTCATCGCGAAAGGAAAATAGGATGTACGTAAAATAAAAGTCGAAAGTTATTCTACAAACTTGCTAGCTAAACTTCATAACTATGATGATAACTATTAAACTATTATAATTATTAACTTCAGTCGACATTCAGGCTTACACAGCATTCTTCTTCTTCTTCTTTTGACTCCGGTCATTCCTTAGATATAAAATCTAACGAAAAGTATATCAGCGAGCTTCACAGTATAGCAAACACTAACAAAATATTGCAGCTACGGAGCCTTTTCAGCACACTCTTCCGAATAACGGCCCTGTAATGACCCTGCTTTGCATGGTCCTCACGATTACATAGTGGCAAGCAGAAAGTCCGTGCAACAAGGGACAGCACGAGATACTTGTGCCTAGTCGAGGAAGCGAGGGAAAGCCCGAGCTAGCCTCGTGGTCAGTGGATCATCAGAAGTCAGAGAAGACGGTTGTAGTATTTGAAGATGTCGTCTTTATGTTGCGCAAATGTTTAATGTTCGAATAGGTCGCGAGTGATAAAGTGTGAATAATGTTTCAACATGTGAAATAAATGGACCAGAATAAACTGACAGAATGTACCAAGAAGCTGAGCGGCGTTTGTGTTGTCAACCCTAGACGTTAAAGTTGGTGTAAATCAAGGTACATGTCAGGTCTACGTCAAGGTTCATTCCAAGCAGACCACGCTTCATTTCAAGTAGACCAAGATTTATTACAAGTGGGGTGCTTGTCCGAAGGAAATTAGAAACAACGCGGACCATAAGCATAGGAAAACATTTTTGTTTCTTCCAAGGTAAGATAAACATGCGGAAAACAGTGTACTTCACCCGAGCAGAGCCTATAATTAACACAGCAAGCGCCGACAGGTCAGCTACCGACCAATGAAAACCGGTGTGTCATCTACGCCCTGCCACACACCGTATCGCCAAGTTTTGCGGATTCAGGAAGTTTCATGTTTTACCAAAGGTACATATCGTAAATATTATAAATCAAGTTTGTGAATTAAATCAGATTTGTGACGATTATTGTTTCGCGGAAACCAGCAAACTATGAACTACGTTTGGGAACAAAAGTTACGTTAAGCTTTATAACCACAGTGACATTTTAACATCAATGTGCGTTTATCAGAATGGCATCTAAACGGTGGGTAAAAAGTAAGAACACTTTGTCGCAAGTGTCTGCAGCGACAACAATGAAAGATACATCGATAAGTAACCAGAAGATCAAGATGTGCAGTTTTTGTAAGTACCAGCATAGTTCTTCAACTATCTGCGACAGAGATCCTAAATATTCAAATTATATTGAAGACTTGGTAAATAAAAAGTGGCAAAATAAACAAAACAACAACAACCCTAAAAAATGCCATTTTTGCTCAGCATTTGGACATATTGTAAAACACTGTGTTGGGAAACAGATGTTGAAAGACAAGAAAAGATCTTGGTATGCGAAAACTAAGCAAGAAAGAATGGATTCAGAAGCTCTTACGTTACCTACTCAAGATTGTGCAGTATGCGACTGGAGGAAAAAACAGGGAAAAACAACAGAGCCTCATACAATTTGGATAGGAACATACCAAATAATATGTCCAGGAACTAAAAAGATAAAGAACGAAATCATCATTGCAGAATTAGAATCCAGCAAAAGCAATACGAGCAACAAAAGTGAATCCAAAAAGACAACAGCCACTGAAACAGAGAAAAAGTCAAACTCAGAAACAATGAAAATTAATCAAGCAAAGGATATCACTGTTCCAACAATGACATCAGTCGAGACAAAAGAAACTCAGTGTATGAAACAGCCAGATTGTGAAATACCACTGGATAGACAAGCCATGAATAAAGAATTTTCATTCTTAGAGGACAATAAATATATAGATTATGATCAATTCCACATAGCAACAAGTAAAAAATATTGTGGAAAGTCAACTAAATGTTTGATAAACAACAAACCAGCACAAATGCAATTAAATAAAAAATCAAATATCACTTTGGTTTGTGAAAAATTTATAGAAAAATCAAATTTAAGCGAAGACATGATTTACTGTTTAGACAGAGAAGATTTTTTGATGCGATTACGGACAGCTTATATTTATTTGAAGTCGCCCTATATATCAAAACCATTGAAAGTACTGGTAACGAACGATATCGGAACAGATGTGATTCTGGGATACAAAGACTTCAACATTAGAGACTGTTCTGATGAAGACATAAGAGTCTGGGAACAAAGGCATCTCCATCAACAAAAATAACAGCTGATTCAAGGAAAATTGCCATATTTATTTATGAACTGAAGTATCACTATTTACTTACTTGAAACCATACAGCCCATCATCCTGAACATCAACATCAATCTAACATATCACCATGCATGAAGCTCAATATTATCACCAGTCAAGAACCTACATAGAACCACTGGCAACCATACGACCAAGAGTAAACCTAAACGATCATCAGGAATTGATACTTTACCATTCTTACCTTCAAGATTGTCTTATTTCAACCAAACAATCAAGAGTAAACCTGAACAATCATCAAGAATTGACAGTTTATCAGTCTTCATCTTCAAGATTGTCTTATTTCAATCAAAATCATAAATCACCAACCAGTACTGTACAAGGAATGAACAGAAACATATCAGCCACTGAATGATCCAAATTTCAAGATCACCATCAAGGAGCACGAAATTATTTTCTCCAAATACCTCAAAATCAACATTGAAACATTTCAAATCGTCAAATTCTAAGCGACACTTCAAGAGCATCTATACAATATCAAGATCATCGAATACCAAACGTATCATAAAATAAAGAATGCGAGAATAATGAAGCATTCCGACTGTTTAAGCTCAATCAAGAACAACAAAAAACGTCAGTATTATATCGTGTTTACACAATTGTGATAGCTACTGTGAAAGGTAGATCATCTTACATACTTAAAGTGTTTGTGTAAATATTAAATTAATGATAAAGTATTTTACAAAAGTGCATAGACACCTGATGTCATTTATAAAAATCAGCCACAAACTGTGTGTATTAAACACCTTCCGTTTAATTATTATTTTAAAGGTGGCATATTAGTGTATACAGTCACTGAACAATGATAATAGTTTTGTGTTAACTTATAAAATTATAATATTTTTAGTCAGTATATTTGCAAGATTACCAGTTATCCTACCATGAAAGACCCCAGAGCAGAACAGACAGTTGAGCAAACCAAGGAATGACAACCTTGAAAGCAAGCGCCGAGTACAAGCAAGACACACACAGCCTGCAGGGATGGATCAAGATCAAAAATAGTTATTGGAATGAATGGGAATGAAAGAGAATAAAACAGGAATGAATGATGAATGAAAGATTTGTGGGTAGTATTTTAATAGTGTACATATTTACTTAGGTTTGTAGTTCATTAGGATTATTTTAGGATTCATGTAATGACATTAGTTCAAAAGTTAGGGAAAAAAAAAAAAAAAACTCTCTCCCCAGGAACAGCACAACCAAATTAAATATTTAGCAATAGATCATATAGAAATCTTTTTCCACAGAATGATTTACATAAATTCAATTTGAAATGTTTTGGCATAGGTACACAGCACAGGGACATGCTAAAGTTGTCCACCACATCCAAGATTAGGAACCATCTATAGTTATACTGATGCTGAATAGACATACTGATGGTAAAGAAAAAGAGCACACATCAAAGCACAAGCACAGTAGAGGAGTTGAACTCATCTGTATCCATTTAAAGGGGGAAAAGGTTGTGGGATTCCTTGGAGTTGAATACTCCGTTAAAGGTGATATAGAGACTGGTGGGGAAACCCTAAACTCTATTAAAAATCATCCCAATAGTCATTTCATCTGAGATTCCTTGGAGTTGAATACTCTGTTAAAGGTGGTTATAGACTTGGAGGAAACTCTAAGATCTATGAAAAATATATCTCAGCTATCATTGTTTTCATGTTAGATTCCTTGGAGTTGGGTAATTACTCTGTGAAAGGTGAGACTTTGGTCTATGAAAAAAATATCTCAACATGCATTTTTTTTTTTTTCTGTGGTAGATTCCTTGGGGTTGGGTAATTACCCTGTAAAAGGTGTTATAGAGCTTTTGGGAAACTAGAAGCACTATGTTAAATATATCTTACCACTATCATATCGGCTAAGAGTCCTTGGGGTTTAACACCCTGTGAAAGGTGAGGTAGAAACATTGGTTAAATCCAATTTTCTATGTAGTAAATATCTCAAAGCTGACAATCATCTTATCACTATCATATCGGCTAAGAGTCCTTGGGGTTTAACACCCTGTGAAAGGTGATGTAGAAATATTGGTTGAATCCAATTTTCTATGTAGTAAACATCTCGAAGCAGACAATCATTATCACTATCATCATTTCACTTTGAACCTGATAGATTAGATATAGGGACTAAACAATACTACAGATGCAATAGGTGTAAAGATGGTATAAACTCTTCACCAGCTCAGTACAGGGAAAGCATGCAGTAAATACTGAAAGCAGTTTTAAAGGGCAGTAATTAAGGATAATCAGAAACCATAATTCCTAGCAGTAATACATTTAAATTGATTTATTATTCCTGTAGTAAATATCTCAAAGTTGACCATTATCATCACCATCATCACAATGATCATTTCACTTGAACCTGATAGAATAGATATAGTGACGAAGCTATACTACAGTTGCAATACGTGCAAAGATAAATATACCCTTCACCAGTTTAGTACTAGAAAAAGCATACAGTAGAAAATTAAAATAAGGGCAGTAATTTAGGCTAATTAGGAACACTAATCCTGAATAGCGAAGTTAGATTTTAGTGCTATTAATTCATTCAAAAGTTGAATGGAAAATGATACTTGATGTTCCATAAAGTATCATTTTGTTAAAAGGCGGGAGGATGTAATGACCCTGCTTTGCATGGTCCTCACGATTACATAGTGGCAAGCAGAAAGTCCGTGCAACAAGG